TTAACGGGATTTAATTTAAAAGAACGCTCTTCTAATTATGGAATTAAACATAATCTCTTGACTTTTTATGATGACCTGTAAATGATACTTCACTTTTTTAAAGTCGCACGTTTCATAAAAAATCTTCTCGTGAATTTATTCTGGACTAAATCGGTTTTTTTTTTTTTTTTTTGATCCCTTCCATAAACCATTTTCCCAATATCTTAATGAGTATTGGACAACATCAACAAGAGTAAAGACGGATGATTAAACACATCGCATACCATGCCTATGAAATAAGAATACATACAAATATCCCTTTGTGGCATGCTTGCTGGTCCATACATTTATTGTAAACGCTCAGGTGTAACTGTTTGTGAAAATGAACGACGAGACTACTTTGGATCAAATTTCCCAATCATTAACAGGATGGACCTATGGTGTTGATGAAATATGAAAGTGTCCTTTCTCCATGATATATGTCCTGTTAAAGTAACAATATTGCTATTTCCTTTGTTTCTAAAGAAATAACAGCTATCATTATCTCAGTTTCAATATTATAATTAAAACCTCTGATTTCTCATATCCTTGGTACTTTAATAATTTCTTGTCCGACTCATCCGTTTACCACACCTGGTAAAGCGAGATTTGAAGAAGGGCTTCTCGTTGTACACTAATTACGAAGCCATGACACCAATTAATGGGCGCATTCCTTTATGGTTATCAGTTTACTTATTAATCTTTTACGGTGGTTGCACACCACGGTCGATTAAATTGCCGACATGTTAAGGAAAAGGTTCCAGTTACTACATGGGTTCCAGTTAATCATGAAAACAGAATTGTCGTCGTTCTGTTATTTGTTATATTTGTATTGCATGCAATTGGATTAAATTATTTATTTATTTATTTCTGGACGAATGATTGTAGTATTATTAAGGGATTATACGGGTAGAACCATTGTTACATTATCCGTATTTGTACACATCTGGCAGAGACAGCAAAAGCTTTCAACACTAATCACACATGCAACATTAAACATGGTTTTGAAATCTATTCGAAAATATAATTCACCTTTGAGTTACATTTTTTTTAATTTACAATACAACTATAGCTAAAGTGCTATACGATGTATACAAATGTATATAAATCTTGGGAAACACAATAAGGAAATAACAATGGCAAAAATTAACAATTAACATACAGATAAATGAATGGAAATATTGTGGACTTGATTCCTGGCGTGTTAACTTGTTAATCAATGATTTACTATCTAAAACGCGATGTGCATTGTCCTCAGAGTGTTTTCATTTAGATTAAAGTTCTTTTACATCTGTCTGTATTTAAAATGTTTATATCTTCTGATGGCATACAATTTTTAATATGGATATAACATAACATTTACCTCTAATATCTATCTTGCATTAAAATGGATCATGAATTATGCAAGACATTTAATTTACTTGTGTTTTCATTTCATTAAAGAAGTATTTCGACGGTTTTTGATTTCTATAGTTCCGCTTGGTTCATGATCGACAATAAGATCTCGGTATTACATAAAGCATATTAAATTCATTCCATTTTTACATTTTTAAGAACTGACGCGAATAATGAGCAATTAACTTTTTAGTAATCTGTTCATCAGATTTAGTCTTCATTAGACTACTTCAAATAAAAGAAGAGTAGAGGTATCATTCCCAATTGTTTTAATAAACTTAGGAATAATATTGTCCGGGATTCTTATATATAGTTTATCCATAACGTTTACTTACTTATAACGTTTTGTCTCTATTACTTTCATTCAGTGTTTTGGCTCCGAAAACCATGTTCGATTCTGATTTCTGTATATTCAAATAAGTTTTACATCCTCGTCATTGTACAATTTGAATACGAGTTAAACATTAGGGGAGTTCATGCCGACCTTAAGACGGCAGATACTTTCGTGACCCACCGACCACCAACGGGCAGTCCCACCCCGTAGTAATGACCGGGCTTTGTCCAGCGAATCGTCCAAACTACCTGTTACCTACAAATTAGAGAAGTGACTTTTCCCCAGCCAATAATTTGCCCACATTCGGTGTGAGATCGTTTCGAACAGATGATCGTTTTATTATGTTAACTTCCGCTAGTTTCAAAATTAATCGTTGTGTTTGTAACGTTGGAGTTTCAATGCACACCTTCGAGATAGCCACAAATGCCTGTGTTTTATGAGATCCTATTTAATATCTAATTAAGTCTTAAAATGCTATTTAAATACAGGGTTTTAGTAAATTGGAATTTGTAGAAAGGAACGGGTAGTTATTGCCAAATTTGCATCTTTTATTTGTATTTCAACACGTTTCAGTATTATAAAAACGGAAACTGCCTTTATACGGCGCGAAACGAGGCCGCTAGGAACTAAGTCATAATCTATTTGAGCGGGCAATGTATTTGCATCTCAATTCTGCAGTAGTGTGTATAGATAGTTAACTTAATAATACGGCATTCAATTTTAATGGTAAAAATCATATCTTTATGTAATCTCAGTAAGGTTAAATATTATTAAATTCTTTAATACAAAAATGCTTGTATGGACCATTTGTTTTAAAGTCGTTTTCATCATAAATGTTGTAACTTGTTTATTGATATGTACCAGTTTGTAATTTTAGTTTTCATTAACTTAATTGATATGAATACTTGTATTAGAGTGCTAACCATGTTCCCAATTAACGGATGACAAAAACTGTGGGAAAAAAACTTTGAAACAGAGTCTAAAAAAGAATTTACCTATCAATATGTGGTCTTGTCGATGATGAGATTGTTCAGTCTGTCATATATTTCAAAATATTTATTTTGGAATTCAATATAAAAAAAAAATACCTGCGGAATCAAATTAGTACAAATATCAGTGGAATTTGTTAATACATTGACGAACTCCTCACCTTATCTCTTGAAAACCTATAAGTCACAGAATATAAAAACCAAAATAAATGGCACAGATGTGTTTTGGTCGTAAAGATGAAATAAACTTACAGGATTATTTGAGCACGCGTCATTTAATAATGATATACACAGGAAATAAAAAGTTACGTGGTTACTTTCTTTGATGATATGAATGTACTAATATATGTGTTTGTTTCTAAATTCATTTTTGTCTGGAGGCATTTGAATTTAGAATATTTCATTAATAACATTCCATGAGCATTCCCGTCAAGACTGAAAAAGTGAAGAAAATTTCTACTTCTTACTTCAGTGTCTTCAAATCAGTAAATTTGACAGCATAAAACATATGCTGGATTGAGTAACATGACCAATATGTACCAATATGACACAGTTTCAACAATAAGTTCATCATTTTATTGAAATAGAATACCATCATAAAGATACACTTTATTCCTCATCGATGAATAGCTTCGTCTAATTAACAAATTCTGATAAATCAAATTGTCTCTTTGGTGAAATTCTGAACAAAAATGTGTATATATATGTATATATATATATTGTCAGGTCAACAGCCTACAATTAGAAACTGACATCAGAATATTGTAATGTTGAAACGACACGAACAGCACCGAACAAATAACAAAAATCCCTGGATATGATGCAAGATCATATTTTAACCCACAGATATACTAACACTTTGTTATAGGGGAGAGCTATACCATTACGAAACAGGAATGATATACCCCCACGATTTGCTAATACATCCAAGTTTGGATTTCTCAATCAAATTCATTTTTAAATCATAAATAAGTATAAACACATCGCCAATAGTACTTTTTTTGCAATTAAAAAAATCGAATTCAAACATCAGTCACAAATAATACAGGGGAATGGTAATATTATTTTTTAAATGAATTAAAAATAGATCTCATTTTGAGTGTTGATAATTGATAACCTTTTTACGTTCTAACCCAGAAGATTGTTAGCATAGCCATTCGTAAATACATTTCAATCGACTTTTCAACGAGTGCATTGAAACAAGGGGATCTACCTGATCTCAGACACATGTAGTCAGCATTGTTGTACAAGTTATATGGTGATTGGTGACGTTATAAGTGGCACGGACAGACATAAATTTGTAATACAATTATAAGTCGGGGATGGTTGATGGCTTGATCGGGAAATTAATAGGTCTGAGTGCCTTTGATGGCAGAGGAAGGTAGGTACGGCTATGAAATACTGTACAATTGGTCTTCTTCGGTCTGCGTTTCATCGTTTGATACAGAGATGTACCTGAGGAGGATTAAGTGGTACATAACTAATTGGTTTGGCTTGTTTGACGTTTGTCCTTTATTAGCAATCATATCGATTAAGCAAATCAATTTGGTTCAGTGATTGAAATGGTGATTCGTCATGACTCATGTAAACAATAGCTCGAGTAAAAGTCAATTTGTTGTGTTACTTCGAAAAACAATCGATATATCAGTTTTAGGGCTGTATGTATTAATATCATAAGCACATCATGTCCAATACTAAAAAGACAATATTAACAAGGGCTTGTAATTCTTCCTTTGAGTGGATTTTACAAAAGACAATGGGAAGTTCATATTAGGACGACGGTTTAGACTTTTTTCTGTAATATATTCTTATTCAAATTTCATACCTCTATGTCAGATGTATTCTAAAACGTTGTTTTGTGTCTGTTTTATGTCTGTCCGTGATACTTATAATCTTCACCAATCACCATACAACTAGTATCAACCATTTATAGATCAAAGCAGCCAGTTTTGACTTAAATTGCAATAAAAAAATTCTGAGACATCAGAAAGTCACTCATACTATGCCCGTTAGAAAAGATATGAAAAAGGTGTAATAATTTTATAAATATACTATACTTTATCATACGAGTACTGTCAAATAAAATTTCATTCGTGCTCGCACAATCCAATCATTTTCTGTGCGTTTACTTTGACATTTATGGTAGTGTGTATGCAATGAATGTATACATCCTTACCAAGGGACTGGTTTCCGTTGAACAAACCCTTCGCCATTTAAATGTTCTTGAAAATATTATCTCATTACAACCACCGTCTTTTTTACAGGTGAAGATATGGTTCCAGAATAGACGTGCACGTGAACGTCGTGATCGTGAGGCTAACCAGAGGGGAGGACTCCTTTCCGCTAAGGCAGTATCAACTGCAGTAGCTGTGACGTCATCGCCTTGGTCCTTCCCAATGTACCCATCCCATCCTGCTCTCGCTCAGTATCGTGACGTCACACAGGCAAACTTGTCCGCATTCACTCCTGTGACCAGCTCCACGTCCTGAGCACTGAATTTAGACAGTATACAAGCGATTTTAGGGTTAAGATTTCACATTGCTTGAAATATATGACGTTTTACAACTAGCTTCCCGAATCATTCACTATATGATTGCAATGTATGCGTCACGCCGAAACGCAACGCTCTAAAGATGAATTTATATTTATCTGGAATATATACTGTATAGTGAGAGTTGTGGAAACGAAATATTATAAACAACGAACTGTTGCCTGTTTCAGGAATATTAAAACCTAACTACAAAATATCTGGTGAGAGTTGCGCGGACGGAATATGATACATAGTCACCAGTGTTTGATCGAAAAAAGCCAAAAGTTATAGTGACTCTTATTCATAGGTCCATTGTTTTATATCGTAGTTTGGTATAATTTAATATTTGCTCTAAATATGACATACGTGGAGAAGTGTTGACGAGGACAAGGAATCTCCACAGTCTGACAGCAGAGATGTTGTTAAGAGAATTGTGTTTATTATTATCATAATAGAATATAAGATCAGGTCAGTGAAAGAGGATACTGTCTCACACTGCGGACGTTTGAAATAAACATTGTTCATTTCTTCTTAATTTTTCATCTTATCTAATTTTGTTCGTATAAAATTGTGGAAACATTTATACTTTTATTTACACATGTAAGACCGAACTAAAAAAAAATATTCTCACAAGTGATGTCCTGATCAGGTTTATGTGGTTTTTGGAACATCTTTTGTCATTTTCTTTGTAAAATTACAAGGATAAAAAGCAAACCTTTCCGTTAATTGTTAGTTTCCCTATTTCATTCATTCTTGAGATCGTATTATGGTTTTGAGTTTTCAGTATTTCTATTTTGAATATCATTTCTAAGAATCAACCAAGTTTCGCATCTCTTTAGATATAATGGTGATGTATATTTCCTGTACAACAGCGACACCGCGCATTCCAAGCATTATGAAGTCTAACTGCACAATTGGTAAAAAATGCTCAGCGTGAAACAATATATCGTATCATGGTAGTTCTGATCAGTCTGCCAGATCGTGTATGGGCATTGTAGCAAAGACCTAGCAAATGGTTTTCACGTGAAAATAGTCCTCACGCCTGTGCACGTGCCAGCGCCCTCTAAGGCTATACCCTCAGTAAAGGGATATGTCCATTGCCCCTCAATGTCTCCAAGGGTAATACCCTCTACCCTTCAAGATCTCTACTTATGGATATGTTCCCTAAAGGGTGTTCACGGGTATATTCATACCTGTAGTGTATCACATTATTGTACGGTTGTTTAAAATTATTCTATCGCGATACACAGGTGTTTCTTTCATTTCATGTCGCTCGCTTGATTCGTAATATTACGTCTGAATGATATGTCGTTGATCAAGAGAAGGAAGACCTTCAATTGACAGAAATGTTTGCTAACTCTTTTTGCGTGCGAACCGACTATTACATCACAAAGACGACATGTCTGCAAAGCCCCGGAGAAAGTACTGTACTGTTATTGCATTTATCAACCTTTATTCGGGGAGATGGAAAGAAAAATACTATTTCTCACGTTTAAGCAAGCAGATCTCCTCCTTCCGAAACGCACGTGGCATCGCTGTCATAAAACCGTCATTGCGATACGGTGATTTTTGACGATTTTATGAATGTGGACGCCATCGCTAGACATGGATAGACTTTTCGTGAAATGCATTCGAATCGGGATCTCAGTATCTCTATCTGAATCACAACCTCTTTTGTAAAAGGAGACACCCGCTCGAACTATACATCTCAACATCCACATATTGGCACTGTCCGAAAGACTGTCACAGTTATAAGAGTCAGTTTTTAATGGAAGCTTTCCGAGGCCACGTCACACACTTACGTGGCACTAGACCTTTCACCTACGGCAGTGGACGCTTACAAGGAGAGGACCTAGGTATTTCCTCGAGAGGACACCGTCATTTTTCAGAACCTATGAATAGATTGAAGTCGGTGCCGTCATAGATTTAAAGATAGAGTTATAGCAGGGTCAGATGCAATAGATAGTGTTTCTGACGTACGATCAGTGTCATCGCTTCATGACTTGTTGTGGCATGCAACGGGACAGTCCGCGCTTACGGAAGTAACCTAACGTGAACCAACAACCCCGGCATCATATTACGTTTTGAAATCCACTATCAACCTAAACCCTGATATGCAAACCCGTCAACTAGATAAAAAATATGGTTAGTACGAGAACGATTTTGCAATTATTTATTACGATCCCGAACATGTTGCTGCCTAAGCTGGCATCATAAGTTTTCTTTGATCCGTCAGAAAAGAAGGTCGATGCGTGCTGGGAAAGACAAGAAAAATAAGAAACAAACTGTGAAGCATGTAGACTATGAAGAGCTTAGAGATGAAATGAGCATTACTAAGCACAAGTTGATTACAAGTGGGACGTCCATACTATCGACATGACTGCCTACGAGAAAGTATTTGTTATTGGTGAAATAATGTCAAAATATATCGGGTCGGTGACTCTAAAAAGAAAACCCGGAATAGAAATATCACGTCTCGGGATGGCAGAAACCCATCCTTCATCGGGAGCCACAAAGACAGAAAGTATGCCGATAAAGATGTCAAAGAATTCTTAACGGGTCAACTCGTGGGCTATTTCGTCACACAAAAGTTAAAGTCTTTTTTTTTCGAAAGGTCAATCAAGACTCTTTAAAATCGCATTATGAATTATATGAGTCACGAACAGATTCATCAGTAGTTAGATGTATCTTCCAAATTAACATGGAGTTCCAAATACACCTACCACCTCGACATCAGGAGAAAAAGATAAACCCCTATTTATGTTGAAAGATTACTCAAGGGAATACACGACGAGAGTGCTTTATCAGAATCAGAATGAAAAAGGCGTAAGAACAATTAGTGTATGTGGTAGCAAAAAAAGTCTTCATACTAAGAAAAGAGTATGGAAAACGGAACATCTTATGTGATGGAAAGAAAGGGCACAGAAATAAGGTTCTTAAATATCCGGAGAAGCCTTCATTGGTCTATAAAATAGACGATCGGATCGGATAGTTCAGGAATTTACCCCGTCAATCGACCTCACGATTTTGAGTCCATCTATCGAAACATTCTTCTTCTTCAGAGTTCACGTTACGAAAAGTCTAAGGCCGTCACCTATATCGAATCTGCGGACTTGTGTGACGAATTGTCATACAGGGAGAATTGACCGCGACGTTATTCCTAAAACGGCACCCGTTCCACTGATAAAATATGCCAGGGTCGGATCCAAACACCTGGAAGACATTTTACAAGAATATGTTGGAATGACAATACAGAGGCAGTCAGATCGTAGGAGGAATCGCAAACAAGTACAAGTACATCATTCCAATAACATCTTACGTGACGGATGAAGCGAAAGTGAAAGAGATCATTGGACAACGTGTGCCACCAGTCGCTGCCACAGAAAACAGAGCATGATGAGGGATGTAATGAAGAAAAAACGTCTTCGCCGTGTTGGTAAATAGAAGACAACCAACATGGAAAGATTGCCCAAAGAAAAGCATCTAATGAAGAAACAGAAAGAGTACTACAACATGGACGATCCAGACCCCACCGTGACGGAGACAAACGGGGACAAAAGATGAGATGTGTGTAACAGTTGTAAGTGGTATTGAATTAATTGCAGTTAATAATATATTTGTGAATACAATATATATAAATATTATTTATTATCATTTGGAGTTAAGTTGTGTAGTTGGTGCACTTAATAACCTGATTGTTTACATGTACGAAACCGTTCATTGTGTTAACGTTGAACGCCCACGTGTTGTAACGTGGTTGTCCCTATTAGGTTTTGAGTGAGAGAAATTGGTGGAAATTAGTGTATAAAACTAGCATGCTGCTTGGATAAGGGGCATTTTTGGGTGGTACCAGGTCTCTTTCCTGGACCTATCCTCTAGGATCTTCCGCTGATGACATTATATTACAATTCAACAAACTACATATATACAGCTTTGGTAGGGACTAATTTCTGAAATAGATAAATAGCAAGAGAAACATGAGTTGTATAATATCTCTGTGACATATAATTACACCGAAAAAAAAAACAAAATGGAAGTGATACTGTAACAAGACATCTTTAAAATGGACAAGTACGGTGTAGGCCTTCACATGAAACCTGTTTAGGAACCGTAATCCCTTTGTTCTGATGAGTGAGGAAGCATCTCACTACTTTCCATAATTTCGGGACGAGTTATGCAATTTGCGCCTTAAGCAATGCACCGATCGACTTAGAAGAGCAGTATTTAATTCTGATACGAAAAATAAGCCTCGGAATTGAAGAGAAATTTGCCGAAATAAAGAAACATTCCAACACTTTCCGTCCTCATCAAACCGACATTACCACTGTTAAACAACGCTAACACTGACGACGAAGAAGCTTTTGTGAAAAGTGGAAGGTCAAAGAAACCAAGAATAAAAGGCCGATGAAAATAATTATATAACAGATGCTTTAGAATTCGGCGATACACGCACCGCTGATCATATGAATTTACAGGAGAGTGAGCTTACCTAGAAAAGTCTTACTGCAGGACTCAGCAACACAAGAAAGGATAAACCACCATGGACGGATCGCCTCGGTACTGTGTCACAGAGTAAATATTTTAAGTAGATATTAAACTTATGAAAACCGAACATGTCTAACTGCATACCATACAACGGAACGACCAGACATATTAATGAACATCGATACAATTAACTTCATATTATATAACGAAGCTCTCACGTATACTTATGAACACTGAACATGTCTAGTTGAATACATCACAACGAAACCATCAGGCATATTAATGAATTCCGAACACCTCTAACTTCATATCACACAAAAAAATCCCAAGGCATACTAACGAGCATCGTTGTGTGCAAGAACGGTTCATTGACAGCTAACAAAATACGTGAATATGTGAAAATGTAATACACATTGAGGAGGTGAAGAAAGCGCTTTCTGATAGGAGTAACGGTAAAGGTGGAGGTCATGATGG